TCACCGGTTAAATAAGAAGGAAGGTCGTCCGACCCGAGGAACCCATCACAATAAGCAGGTAAGTTTTCTCCCCGTTGTTGGCTTCTGTCTGACCGCCACTACCGGCCTCTTTCTTTGCTGACCGGCCACCCCTATTTGTTTGTCTTGTCTATCGCCACCACGGTAAAGGGTGAGATGGTTGGCCTCTTCGAACCCCGAAAGGGTTTCGGACATAGCTCCTGACCTCAAATTTTCTTTAAGAAGTTTCTAAACGAAAATACCCAAACACCCCCAGGGAGTGAAGGGCAGCGATAGATTACGGGTGACTAAGCCCGATCGACTTGCTGCGGTTAGTCCTCACTACAAATACCAAACGTCTATGAAGCCGGCCTGACGGCTAAAGTTACCCGTGTAGGTCCCAAAAGCCCCGGCTTTCGTAGCCCGCTGCCGACTTTTTCGTCCTGCAATGCCCTGTGTGGTTAGACGTCATCCCGCCACAGCGCGAAGTAGCAGCCGGACTGACAGGTGCTCCCGGTTTTTAGCCGACCACACAGGCCCGGAATTCCGACTAAAGCCTTGGGTTTTGGAGCTTACCAATTACGTCCGCAACCTACGTCCGAAGGGTAGATCAGACTTACAAGACACCTGAACTCTTTCGTCCCCTTAATGAATGCCCCTGGTCGTCCGACGACACTCTCAATAGTCAGCTTATGAGCTTGTTTATTGGGAGGGAATGGTCCCACATCTTTCTGGCCAATCCACCTGGAAGTCTACCGTTCCCGAGAAAACCCTAGCTAAATGAAACCAGTAGCACCTACTCCCTCATAAAGCGTCGAACCGCATCGACGAAGACGAAAGGCTCAGGATCTCTGCCTTCCGTGAAAGGGTGGTGAGCGGCGGGCGACGTTGAGGTCATTCCTCGTCGTCTCACCCGCGGCGTCGTGACTACTCACCTTATTTAGCGTATTTCACGACAAGGTTTTCGTGACACGCCAAGTTCCCTCTGCATACCGGCCGCACGACACCAAGTCTTTTTGTGGTGGAACGGACCGTATTACGGTCTAATTACGCCGAGGTGGTCACCTTACACCTCTTGTGTCGAATTATGCCTTCCGCGCTGCCGGTACCACTCTCAACCCGGCGCCGCAAGTTCCCCTGGAGACGTCTTTTTGCCCAAACCAAGCAGTAACCATTGGGATCCAAGATTCCTCACCTACACACACTTTTTACGTAAGTCATTTTTTGCTAACGTAAATAGGGTCTCATTCTCAGTAGAGAGAGGTGTAAGGGTGAAAAGGGGTTTACAGACGCACCTTTCAGCCGTCTATGGCAACGTAAATGGCTACACATGTTAAGTGAACTCTGGTGGAGTAATGACTCTACGTTAAGGGGTGAGCGGGCGGCGGTGCGGACCATTGAGGCAATTTCCTCCGTCCTGTCCTCCGCGCGCACGTGTAGCACTCACACTATTTGGCGTCCCTTAGAGCAGTTTGCCGCGATACGCCCCACGTCCCCCTGGATAGACCTGGCCGTACAACAACAGTCCTTTTGTGGTGGAGCCGAAATCAATTATCGAGCTAATACGTGAGAAGTGGCAAGACACACTAAAGTACTGGCCCGGCGCGTCCGGGTGCTACTGCGCACGGTGCACGCAAGTTCCTTGGAGTCATCCTTTTAAGCCGGGAAAGACAAGTCGGCGGGGTACTTGGGCTAGAAGGGAAAATACCCTTCCAAAACCGCCGCTCCCCGGTAGTGCTACTCGATGTCAAAGAATCCTACGCTGAGGTTTCCGCCGAACCGTTCCAGGGGATTGTTGTCCCCCCTTACTTTCCCGAGTCGACGACATGGACTGTGCCTTCCTACCGGTCCTGTGACTTTGACCGCCATGAGTTGAGACGGTCAAAGCGTTCAGCAGAAGAGGCAGGTTCTGCAGTTCGTACGTGCTTCTTGGCCGTCGGCTGAAGTCTTTGCGGTGTGTTCCAGTGCGACACATGGCCAAAACACAGAGACGCGAGGCGACGCAACAGTCAGGGTCCGTCTGTGTCAGTTCTTTGGTGTCAGCTTGGTGTGTCCGGGCCTTAAGTCTCTCTTCCAGCAGCCTGACTTCTATTGGAGCACACATTCTGGTTAGTCATTTTCACAACTGTGACTACTTGTCCAACTAAAACTACCTTTTTTAGATGCCCCTCAAGTGGAGATTAATAGCGGACATACCTCCCAGCCATTCAGAATAAAACATATTTTTTTAAATCACAGAGGCATTCGCCGGTTAGTAGAAGTCACTTCTGATGGGAAAAATAAACAAAAACTGGATTTCAGGAGTTCAGCTCTGGAATAAAAAAAAAATGTATTCTATAAACTACTGACAACATTTCTCTGTGTTGGAATTCAACAGACACTGGAATGGAATGTCTGCCAAACATGTAGAGATTGAGATTTAAGAAAAATGAAGTGGTCTCTTGATTTTTTCAAGAGCTGTGTATTGAGCGATTAATTGTTCTTCAAATATGCCCCAAAAATATACAGCTTTAGTATGAATTACTGTACAGTGTATTCATTTTAAGTAACAAAACAGTTACTTGGAACAAGTTTACTCCATCACACAGAGGCCTCCCATTTTAGGCATATGCAACTTGCTTGGTCACCCATTATCTGTCTGTGTGTGTGTGTGTGTGTGTGTGTGTGTGTGTGTGTGTGTGTGTGTGTGTGTGTGTGTGTGTGTGTGTGTGTATGTGTGTGTGTTACAAGCTCACCTTTCTCCCAGTCTTTAACACGCCCTCTGAAATGATTTTCTGTCCCATGAAACACGTACACAATAAATAGTAAATTATATGTCATGCACACCAATAAAATGCTACAGATCTTCCTTTTCTGCTCACGTGTGTGTGTGTGTGTGTGTGTGTGTGTGTGTGTGTGTGTGTGTGTGTGTGTGTGTGTGTGTGTGTGTGTGTGTGTGTGTGTGTGTTGTCTGTGTGTGTGTTCTGTGTGTGTGTGTGTTCTGTCTGTGTGTTTGCAGGTGAATGTGAACATCCTGGAGGCTCAGAAGCTGGTTGGAGTGAACATCAACCCTGCAGTTTTCATCAGAGTAGGAGATCAGAAAAAACACACAGCGACACAGAAATCCACCAACTGCCCCTTCTACAACGAGGTAGTGCAGAGAGGAGACAATACAGTGGTGTACTGTAAAATACAGTATCGTAAAGTATGTTATAGTACAAAACGGTAGAGTAAAATCCAGTACAGAAAGAAAATTAACAGCAAAGTACAGTAAAAAAAATAAAAAAATACAGTACAGCAGTGTACATTAAAATACAGTCTAATGAAATACAATAAACTACATTAGAGTACAGTAGAATACAGTACCATGAACTTACGTACTGTAAGTAGAGTAAATACAGTACAGAAAAATATGTTACAGTAGAGTAAATAGAATAAATGACAACACAGTAGAGTTGTTTTAAGTAAAATACAGTCCAATACAATTAAATACAGTGCAGCAGAATAAAGTGTACATTAAGTATATAACAGCTGTTTGCCTTTTCTTGTCTTCCAGAACTTCCAGTTTGAGTTTCAGGAGACTCCACAGGTCCTATTTGACAAAGTCATCGAGATAAAGGTCAGTTTTACAGTTTTATTCTATGTTTTGCTTCTGTTCCTACCGCTGTTAACCTGATGAGAGTTTTGGGAGGGGCCCGAAAGTTCTCACCTCTGGTTGACGTCCCCTGCTCTCAGGTGTTTCACAGACGGACCCTGGCCTTCCTGATGACCCACATTGGGACCTTTAAGATCGACATCTCCACCGTGTACAACCAGCCAGGTACCAGCCCCGTTGCACTGCAGCACTCTGATATAAAATACTGTACACTACCCTCTGACCTTTAACCTCTGTGCCAAACTCTCCAGACCACCGCTTCTACCAGAAGTGGGGCCCTCTCACAGACCCGGCTGACACCAGATCAGGGATCAAAGGCTACGTGAAGGCGAGCCTCAGCGTGCTGATGAAGGGAGATGCTCTGAGCATGGCCAGCCTGCCAGCCCCCTCCTCATCCTCAGCCAGTGACGACATAGAGAAGTCAGTAACAGTACATATGGAAAATTGTTCTTCATCGTCATATGAATCTTGATTTTATTATATCAGGGTTTGGGAGAATACTCAATTCTGGGTTTCTCTCGTTCTTTAAGTAACAAATGATAAAACCTCTTCTCTCTATTATCCCACTTATTACACGGCTACGTATTATCTAAAGTGTGAGAAGCATCTGTGATTGGCTCTGGGTTCTGACGTTGTTTTCCTTGCAGGAACTTGCTGCTTCCTCGTGGAATGGCTTCTGAGCGTCCGTGGGCTCGGTTCCGTGTCCGGATCTACCGAGCCGAGGGTCTGCCCACCATGGAGGCGGGGCTTATGGCCAAGATGTCGAAGGCCACTGACCGCACAGTCTTCATTGACCCATACGTTCAAGTGTCCTTCGCTGGACAACAGGTACTGAGTCAAAACCAATTGTTGTAGATTTGTTCTCCTCTAAGTACCTTTTACTTTCTAGAGAACTCAGAAACTTAATTCCTGTACTTTATTTTGAGCCCCTAGAAAGCTCTTTGCTTTTAGGGGGAACTCAGGATGGAGCACACATGGCTGGACGTCACTTACATTTGAGAAAAGAGTACTCAGATCCATTTCTTAAGTAAAAGTACTATTACAACCATTTTGAAATAATCAACTATAAGTTAAGTTTCTGCATCCAAAACCTTACTTAAGTCCCAGGCTCCCTCAACAATGCAATATAATACAGCTAAAACATAAAAGGAGGTGCAATTTGGTTGCAAGAAAAATATATAATAATACTTCAACTTCAAGTAACCAATTCTTACAGGTTCTTTAAATGTGTTGGAAACACACAGAAATAAGCAGTATTTTTTCAATCAGGGGGAGACGTCGGTCGCCAGCGCCACCAGCTCTCCCGTATGGAACGAAGAAATCTCCTTCATCGAGCAGTTTCCCCCTCTGGCTCAGCGAATCAGAGTCCAGGTCCTTGATGACGCCAAGATGGGAAACATCGCCCTGGCAACGCACTTCCTGGACCTGCAGCAGATTTCTGACCCCACCAGGAACGGTATAAACCCAATGTTTAAATTTATAATATAATGGTACTATAATAAACATCAGACACCACACCTTCTTAGAGAAAGTTATTTATCTGACACAGTATTACATTAGAGAAAGCCCTATATTCTCATTTATATGAATACAATATATTTGTGCGTAATTTTAAGGACATAAACCCAGTAAGAGGAAATACAATAGATAAATAAAGAAAAAAGAAAATTGAAACAAAAAGACAAAAAGACATAATGAAGAACTATTGTTAAGAAAACATGTACTGTACAGTATATCTGAATTAAAGTCAAAGAGCAGTGCAGTTTTAAAGTTTTGTGCAACATTGTCAGAGTAATGTGCAGAGGCTCACAGTATGGAGTATGAGAAAAAGCTTGTTCACAGACATAGTTCCCCAATGCAATAATTTAATGCATTAGGCGCGTTCCCACTGGAGTACTTTCCCCCGTACTTTTCCCGTTTAGTTCCGTTAGTACCCCTTATGTTGCGTTCACACCAAAAAGAGTAATTAGTGCCGGGAACTTTTACCCCCATTTTTAGTGCCTGCTAGAGAGGTGGTCCCAAAAAAGTACCAATTTCTATTGGCTGGGCGAATTGCAAACCACGCCCCGTAAAACTCTGAAATTTTTTTGAAGCCGCCATTGTATTTGCTGGCATTAGCATTATTAGCATTAGCCCGGGCACCAACAGAGAGAGAATAATTTATGGCAACACAAAAAAAAACATGGGAGCGGTGGAGTGATGAAGCCAGTCCCCAACTCCGGGGACTTCCGGCCGGGGACTTCGGGTGGCAGTATACGCCGTGAAGTTATTTGCGGTCTGCCAGTAAACCCAAAGCAGAAGAACACGAAGTGACGTAAGCGGCTCATTTGCGTAATCTTCCCTCAGGGAAAAGTACTCCGGTGTGAACGCGATTGGTACTTAGTGCCCTGGGGTACTAAGTGCCGGGGCACTAAGTGCCAGCAAAGTACTTGGTGTGAAAGCGGCTCTTGGTGTGTACCTATGGGAGAAAATAAGAGGTTGAGGTTTTATTTCCTGCCAGAGGAGAACAATTGAAACTGGAATCAGTGAATGTTCATTTAGTTAGTTTCAGGATAAAATGCGTTTTTACCGAGGGGTAGGACATACTGTATATCAGCTGTTTGTTGGCTGTGACTTGTCCTTCAACTTGCAGGGGGAAAACCTAGGGCAGGGGTATTCAACTAAAATTCAACGAGGTCCAGTTACAGAAAATCTCCACATGCAAAGGTCCGGAACATCAAAATGTCTAACTTGCTTTATGAATTAGTGTGATATATATTGAAGTAGCCTGCAGCTTTATCAACGTCTCCATGTAATCAACAACTGACTGCAGATCAAATAGAATAGAATAGAATAGAATAGTTTAATGTCATTATACATGTACAATGAGATAAATGCTTCTCCCTTTCAAGGGTGCCATCAAAACAAATAAAGAAAGTACAATTCATAAACAACAATATTTATTGTCTATTAACATTGAACTATACAGATATACAGTAAATACTGTGGATATGTGTAGTTTTAATTTTGATCCTGGTGGCTACATTTAAAAATAAATAGAGAAAATAATAAAATAGTTTTGCGAAAATATGTGCATCTTATAACTGCTTAATTTTAGATAAATAAAATAAAGTGGTGCAGCAGCCACAGCAGCAGCTTGAGTTTCCCTTTTTCTTTGTTAACTGTTTCACATCAATGTACTTAACGTCTTCGCAATTATAGAACAATATCAGTCTTACACTTCATAACAATTGAACAGTGTTAAAGTTTCTCTTTCTTTCACCCTCACTGCAGTCCATTTACTCCTTTTTTTTTAATTCAGTGTGAGAATTGAGCTCTGGAGCTTGTCCTGCCAGGATTTAAATCTGGGCTGAATGGTGTCAGGGCCCATTCCTCATACACACAGTGCAGGTGCTCATTGGTTAGCCTCCGGTTAGCCTGCCCTGGAACGATATTTGTTTTAATTTGAATCCTGGTGGACATGATCATATTGGGCTCTGAGACTGCTTATTTTTTGTGGACCTCAGTTCTGACTTGAGAGGCGAATGTTTGGTCAAACACTTTGTGTTTTGTCTCATAGTGGCGTTCGGCACCTTGTAATGAGCGCCACGGTCTCTGGACAATAGACACCACTGGCTCTGTGCTCCCAGTGGGCAGGATGAACATGGAATGAGTCCGTCACTCAGGGTTAAAAGCTCTGTTCCACTGTCCTTTTCCTCTTCTTGGAGAGCGCCATGTGTAATTATTGTCTCTCCCTGTCTGCCGCAACACGCCTGTTCCACTCTCCCTCCGCTTCTCTCCCTGAATCGCTTATTTTCTCTTCACTCACTTTCCTCTCCCTCTCTCTGCGCGCTCTCATCTCTTCTTCTGTGTTTCTCTCCCTGTATCGAGCTCACTCCTCTCCTTTGGCCCCTCTCGGCGGCGCGTTAAAATAGAATCGCCCCTCAAAAATTGAAATCCGCTATAATGTATGGATTACAGGTCCGGTCCGTATAGGTCGGGGTCCGGATCCGGACCGCGTCCGCCTGTGCCGACCCCTGACCTAGGGCATCCTTAAACTTTTTTGAAATTAAATTTAAATGTTTATTTTGAGCTTTTCCGATAGATCAGCTTTTACTTGTTTTCGTCTGAACCAGACTGTTTTTAAAGATTTACATGATTAAGAAAACATCTTCTGTGTGGCAGGGGTTTAACCCCGACCTTTGGCCCATCTGGGGTGAACCTGTACGGTTCTCCTCAGAACTCCACCCTCGGAGACGTCCACCCAGGTAAACCAGATACGACAATTAAATCCGACCATTTACATCACTCTCATGTCTGCAGAACTCAATTCATTCAAGCCAAGAAATATTCAGAACATACCCTCTGATGGAAACACAACTAGAATCGTTTTAACACTATGTTGTAACAGATACAAAAAAAAGGCAATAGCAAGTTTGTTTGTAGCTACGTGACTTCATATTTGACCAT